ATGAAGCGCGTCCAACCTACCGAGACGATGTCATTGCGCTTGGTTCCAGCGCAGAAGCTGGTCTTTTGGACTTCCTACGTGATCACGACGTACGGTCAAGCGGATCGAACGCGGTGTTAAAGGAACTACTAAGGTTACCTCGATCTGGTGTGCTCAATGCAAATATCATGCATTACCGCGAACTTCGTATCTCTGGCTTGACATTTGATCCTGCGCCGCAACACACACACGACATTGTAGACACCAAGACAAATAATGTCAGTGCAATCGAATATATATATATCGTCATAAGTACAGTACATGAATATATCGACGTGTGTACATACATGTACATGTACATGAATATATCGACGTGTGTACATACATGTACATGTTGATAGCCTGGCTTGGACATGCTGCAGCGAGTCATGCGCGATATCGACGACGTAGGTGCTGCTTGTATGGGTCCCATGCTACTGGTGGAGAGTTGCACCTGGGGCTACATGGTGGCATTAACAATCGGTCATATATATGTATTTATATTAGCTGGTACCTACCACACGTGGAGCCACGCATCGATGACTTTCAGATTCTACAAGATTTGTTAACGGAATGAACGTGCAGGGTACACAAGGTACTACATACGTAGATAAGGGCCAGTGTCGAGAGGCAAGAAAATGAAACCAGCTTTCGTAGGTTGAAAGCGAATGCATCCAACCTGCATACGTATGTATGAGTACTGGATGCAACGTGTACATGAGTCTGGGCGCGCATTGGATGAACCCTGAATAACGAAGACGACGAAGCACCCACGAGCGACCAAATCCCGTGGGCCACGGCTGTAAAAGCGGCGGTTTAAACGGCAAATTGATCCTAAGACACGACAATATAGTTCATAACTACGTCATTTCATATGCATATTCACATATGTATTACGTCTGCGGTGTTAATGGACGCTGATGCGACATGGTTAAACCTCCCCGTGGGCAGTCCCATTTTGCCCCATCATGTCAACCCAGAAGTGTCATCAGCGAACGTACCGTCCCCTTAGGCCAACGACTGTGCCGCGATGAATCCAAGACGTCGATGCTAATCGCTCCATCAAGTGGCAGGGCCAGCACATCCTCTGGGGTGCTCAGTCATCCAGCTCCGAGCAAATTCTGGCGACGTCCAACCTCTCGAAAGTGTTTCCGGTTCGTGAATTCTATTTGTCAATTCATTTCGTTTATCCGGATTTCCTTTGCGCGTGACTTTGTGACCAGAATATTATTCATAGATGACCATTCGACGGATAGACCTTTGATGCTATGGACAACAGTGGATGTATGAAGGGGTTTCAAGTATGAATCGTAGAATGAGACAACGTATCATTCTACGGCGACCGACGAGTGGTTCACGTATGCGTGTAAGTATTGGTGCCCACGCAAGGGGTCGGGTTGTACCAGGTTGGCATGTCCATACACAGGCCATATACAAAATCATGATTCTAGTCACTCCGTGTGCCCACTCGTCGGCCGCCTGCGCCGCCCAAAACGCCTACGCTCACCGGATAACCTGATCATTGAAAACCTGAAATTATCCATTTTGAAATTGCAGTGGCGGGATCCCCGTAGATGTAATACCCGTTGAATATGTCAGCGTTGGTTTCGAAGTACGCTTGTAAATTGCTAACACGAAGCATAGTCACGTCGTGGCGGTTGCCTTCCAAGGGCCCAAAGAAATGGATGCACAGTCCGTCTGGTGTGGTTAACCCCTGATAATTCAGGTAGTGCCTTCTTTTGTGGCCGGAGTAAATTCGTTTCTGGAGGTTCATCCCTTCCACGCCTGGTGAACTCGCGTCGATTCGGCACGATTCTATCTGTCTGGAAGAGCCCAGACATTCGACAGCGGTGCACCTATAGTCTATATCTGACGTAGAAGTACTCACTA